CTACAAATTAATAAATAAATACATCTATGACACTACTACTATAATACTTTGCATTAAGGAGGTAATAATTTAGATTAGTGTTATATGCACGACACTGGTATAAATTAGAGTAAATTGCTTATATACCATAGACAAGCTCGGTATTGCTCATTTGCCGTCGAACAAACTAGTGTTGCTTATATGCCGCTTACAAGCTTGTTTCGTTGCCAATTTGCCATCGCCGTTACTCTTTTTTTTGCGGGGAATTGTGAGAGCTTTATTCAAACAAAAACGCTCCTAGGATCATCAGCCATCAGGCTACTGATCAGGAACGGGGGTGCAGAGTCTAACCAAGTCTCGGTCACCATCAACGTGCTGGCATGCTTTGCACAAAGATGGGCCGGAAGATTAGCAGACCTGTTTACATGCTGAATTAAAAAAGAATCAAAAGACAAAGTATGCTCTCCAATCTCTACTAGTAACGAGTCACAACCGAAAGAGAGCCGTGACGAGTGTTCCAGAGATTCACTATCTCCAGACAGTCGGATTCCAATATCACATGTGCATAGCCTCGAAGACGAGCAAAGAGAACTCCCTCTCGTAGTGACAAGGCCTCCGCAATGAGGGGGTCCGTAACACCGACATGCGGTTTGGACCAGGAAGCTAGCAACGCCATAGCAGAACGAGCCACACCACCAGCTTCGGCTAGACCCACTTCTGAATTGATTGCACCATCGACATTAATCTTGACAAATCCCTCTTCCGGAGGACGCCAACCATGTCCTGGCAATAGGGTGGCTTGCTTTATAGGAATCTCTAGAAGGCCAAATCCTCTCGAATGTGGCGAATGGAGTAAACTGGCTCGACATGTTCCTTCTCATGAGTCCATCGATTCCGCGACTGCTAGATAGCCCACATCACCGACACGATCTGCTCTCTCACATGATCCGAGAAACGATCATCACATAGAATGTCACGCGCCCAGGTGGCAGGGTGCAAGCATGGGAGTCGAAAGCCAAACCAGGTTTGCGCTTCATCCCAAAATCTGCGTGCATGGGAGCAAGACTCCAATGCATGCATAAGATCTTTCTCTTTGGCCAGGCAAACATTGCATAGACTAAGAGGTTTAATATGTTTGTGCTTAAGGGTAGCTTCATCAAATAAAGTAAAAATACATGGTAAAAAGACCCATCTTTTTCACCCCGCAGAATTCACCCCGATTTCAAGCCCTGTCGGCGGTCGCCATGGCGGAACCGCCGCCGCCCCTGCCGCATCTTCTCCTACCCACCGAAGATCCTCCTCTCCTGGCTGTCTTTCCTGCCGCCGCCGGACATGTAGCCGCCGCCCCTCCCTCATCTTCTCCCGTTGCGGCCGGTCGTGAAGATGCAGCTCCCGCCGCCGGCGGCCGTGCAGTCGCCGATCCCGTCGCCTCCGGCCGTGAAGCTGCAGATCCCGTCGCCGCCGGCCCTGTAGATGTTGTTCCTCCCGTCGCCGGCGCAACAGCTTCTGCTCCTCCCGTCGCCGGCCCTGCAGCTGCTGCTCCCGCCTCCACCGCCCCTGTAGTTGCTGCTCCCGTCGCCCCCCCGCACTGTAGTTGTGGATCCGGCTGCCACCGCGCTGCACCGGCTACTGGACCTCGAGCTCCAGCCGGTGGACCTCCATCCAACGCCCCTACAGCTGCAGGACCTCGAGCTCCAGTTGCCTCCCTCATAGGCACTGGACCCCCAGCTCCAGGCGCCTCCCTCACTGCCGGTGAGGATGTGGCTTCTTCGACATCTCCTCAATCCCCACCACGAATTCCTGCAGTAAGGTAGTTCTCTCTCTGATGTGTTTGTGATATGTTCTCTTGTGATATTTAGTTGCACATTGTGATACGATTGTCGCAAAAGGTAGAGATGCACAAGAGTGGTGATGAGCATAGCAAGAGCAAGAGAAGAAAAGGACAACATCAATGCCTAATTTGCAAAGACTATGGTCATGGATGGAAAGGTTGCAAAAATGCCGATCTAGATGCAAAAGAAGCTAATGCTGATGTCGCAAAAGAAAGAAGGTAAAACTGTAATTTTGTTTACAATTATCATGCATATAGCAATACTAATGTTCTTTTGCTCATGTAGGAAAAAAGAAACAAGTCCAAAGCTGCAGCAAGGAGTGGTGACAGTAATATTCAAGCAATTAAAGGTACTCAACCATCACTAGGTCTTCCATGTCCAACTAGCAACCCAAGTGAAGTAGATGTGGTGAAGTCAACATCATCAAAGACTACATCATCTAAATCTTTGAGGTAAATGATACTATATTTTCAAGGTTAAATTGTATTTCTTTTTTGCAATCATATCATCTACTTTAATATGAGTTGTTAATTTAGGTCAAAAACTGGTTCAAATTAAATTGAGAACACCTCAATGGAAATTGTGTCAACACCAAAGCGACGCAACTGCAAGTCGAAGGCAAAGGTGATACCACCAGCAGCGGACATCCCCGCAATGGCCACTCGAAGCAAGAAAAGGTAACCAAACAGCCCTGTTATGGCCACTCGTAGCAAGAAGAAGCTGAAAGTGTGAATTTGTTTCTTTCTATCACATTGTGGACTTGTTTTCTTGCACTGGACATTGTTCTCTCTTTTGTGCACTTCAATTTCATGTACTGGACTTTGAGTACCATGTCTATTTGGAGACCTAGTGCTGGTTGAGTGCCTATATATTGAGTACCTCTTTTGTGCACTTCAATTTCTTGTACTGAACTATGGAAATATATTGTTGTCATGCTTATAATAGTTTGATCCTCAAATTACAAGGAAGGTGCTGTCAGTTTTTAAAGAGAAATATGTTATTGTCATGCAAGCTAGCTCCAGCAAGGTGCTACCTCTATCCTTGTTATATGTGATGGTGAAAATATTATATTGTTTCCATGAACTTGTTTGATCTTGAAATTACAAGTAAGGTGCTACCAATTTTTTTATACAAATATGTAATCTCAATATGTAATGGTGAAAATATTATATTGTTTCCATGAACTTGTTTGATCTTGAAATTACAAGCAAGGTGCTGCCCTTTTTTTATACAAATATGTAATCTCAATATGTACCGCATGTTTACAAGTAATTGTTCGCAAGCAACCTTATTTGCCATTGAGGGCAAAATCATCATTTTGCTTACTTTAACAGAAGTGTTTCACACCAACATAACGGTTGATGGCAAATTGGCAACGAAACAAGCTTGTAAGCGGTATATAAGCAACGTTGGTTTGTTCGATGGCAAATGAGCAATAGCTGAGCTTGTCAATGGTAAATAAGCAATTGTCTCTATAAATTACTTATTATAACTGAACCACCCAAACGTGGCGCACCTTTCCTTCTCTCCCCAATCGCTAAACATTGCAGAGATCCGACGTGGCGCAAGCGACTGGGCGCCCAATGCAACGACTCTTAATTTTAGAATTCACGGTGCTGGTGGGTGTGTTATGTTTAAGCTAGCCGGTTGGTGACTAGTCACACGTCCGTATGTACCTAATCACACAATTTAGAATTCACGGTGCTGGTTTGTGTTTATTTTGTTTAAGCTGGCCGGCCGGTGACCAATCAATCTTATGTCCTTATCTATCTAATCACATAATTTTAGAATTCACTTTTGTTTAAGCTGGCCGGCCGGTGACTAATTAATCACGTGTCCTTATCTACTTAATCACATAATTTTAGAATTCAACTTTTGTTTAAACTGGCCGGCCGGTGACTAATCAATCACGCGTCCTTATCTACTTAATCACATAATTTTAGAATTCAACTTTTGTTTAAACTGGCCGGCCGGTGACTAATCAAGTGTCCTTATCTACGTAATCACATAATTTTAGAATTCACTTTTGTTTAAGCTGGCGGCCGGTGACTAATCAATCACGCGCCCTTATCTACATAATCACATAACTACAGAATACACCGTGCTGGTGTGCGTGTTTTGTTAAGCCGGCCCGTGACTAATTACATGTCGTTATCTACCTAATCACATGATCTTATAATTCACTGTGCTGGTGTGTATATGTCTATTGTTTAAGCTAGCCCGCCGGTGACTAATCAATCATGTGTCTATCTACCTAATTATATAATTTTAGAATTCACTTTTGTTTAAGCTGGCCGGCCGGTGACTAATCAATCACGTGTCCTTATCTACTTAATCACATAATTTTAGCATTCAACTTTTGTTTAAACTGGCCGGCCGGTGACTAATCAATCACGCGTCCTTATCTACTTAATCACATAATTTTAGAATTCAACTTTTGTTTAAACTGGCCGGCCGGTGACTAATCAATCACGCGTCCTTATCTACATAATCACATGACTATAGAATACACCGTGTTGGTGTGTGTGTTTTGTTAAGCCGGCCCGTGACTAATTACATGTCGTTATCTACCTAATCACATGATCTTATAATTCACTGTGCTGGTGTGTGTATGTCTATTGTTTAAGCTGGCTGGCCGTGACTAATCATATGTATCCTTACCTATTTAATCATATACTCTCTCAGTCCCAAAATAAGTGTTGTTATTTTAATATAAAAGTTGTACTAAATTGATGCTATTTATTTGAAGACGGAGGGAGTATATGTGTTGAAGGCTATATCGATCAACTAAATTCAATCAGTTTCTTAATTGGGACCTCGAGCCAAGTCTAGAAGTATAATGTCTGATGAGTGTTCCCAAAAATCTGACCTGTGAGTTTTTTCCTTCTGTATCGAATTATGATCTGGTTGGCAGCTAATTAAGTGTACTACTCGCTCCATTTTATAATGAGTGCCGCGGTTTTAGTTTAAATTAGAACTAAAGTAATGACACTTGTTTTGAGAGGGAGAGAGGATATGTTAAAAATATCCAAACACCATGGGCCCCCCATGTGCCTTGCTTCGCTTGATAGCTTTATAATCCCATGCGTCCCCGGCTGAGCTGCTGCACAAATCACTTGCTAGCTTCAATTAAGGAGCTAGAAAACAACCAGACAAGCTAAGCGAGGCTGGGAGATCGAGCAACTAGCAATGGCGGAGTTCGCGCTTGGGTTGACCAAGTCGGCGGTGGAGGGGGCGCTAAGCAGGGTGAAGTCGGCGATCGAGGAGGAGGATAAGCAGAGGGTGCGTGTTCAGGACGACCTGGTGTTCATCACCGGGGAATTTCAAATGATGCAGTCCTTTCTCGGCGTCGCCAACGCCGAGCGCGCCAACAACACGGTGGTACGGACATGGGTGAAGCAGCTCCGCGACCTGGCCTTCGATGTCGAGGACTGCGTTGAGTTCGTCATCCACCTCGACAAACCGTCGCGCTTGGACTGGGTGCGGCGCTTCACCTCGTCCGTCATCTGCATCACAAGGCCGCCGCTGCCCCTGGACGTGGCGGTTGCAGACATCAAGCGGCTCAAGACCAGGGTGGAGGATGTAAGCCAGAGGAACACACGCTACAACCTCATAAGTGACTCCGGCTCCAGCTCCAACTCTGCAGTTACTGTTGTCTCTACTCCGGCAGTAGAGCTTAAGCCGGCCAGCGCAGGACCAACATTGCATAGTATCCTATGCAAGGTGTGGGAGGAAGCGGGGAGGAAGCGATGCGGCACGGATGATCTCAAGAAGCTGATCATCAGAGGAGGGGGTGGCCTTGAAGTCATCTCCCTATGGGGAAGTCAAGAGGTTGCACATCTTGGGGTAACACATGTTATTAGGGAGGCGTACAATGATCCACAAATCCGCCAAGATTTCAGTATCTGTGCACGGGTAAAGCTGCTACATCCATTTATCCTTGACGAGTTCCTCAAGAGCTTTCTCGCTCAGTTCAACACACTGCGGCAAAGGAGCACTAGGCGTTCTCACCTCAGGCAGCATATGAAAGAGCATAGGTATCTAGTCATCTTGGAAGATGTACGCACTGCGGCAGAGTTGGATGACATCAGAGAGTATCTGCCGGACACTAACAATGGCAGCCGGATAGTCGTGTCAACACAGCAATTGGGGCTGGCGATTTCCTGCTTGTGGAAGTCGTACCAGGTAGCGGAGCTCAGAAAGTTCTCTCATGGTCAATCGCTTTATGCATTTATCAACAAGGTATGCAGTTAAGCTAGCACTATCCACTATTTGGTTAAACTAGTTGTTTATAATAATAGAACATCTGTATATTGAGGGCGTAATCAGAATGCCAATTTCCATATGCCCGGGGTAATCCATGTTTTAAATTATTTCCACTCACAATTACTGGACCTTCATATTTTTGCTCCTACGTCCAACCAACTGCTCTAATAATTTTTTACCTTGGCGTCCATATCACTTGGAATAGTTTAACTACTTACTCCCTCCGTCCCATAATATAAAAGCGTTTTTTACACTAGTGTAAATGCTCTTATATTATGGGACGGAGGGAGTACTACTGTGTGCGTGTGTGTGCTTGTGCGAAGCTCGGCCGTGTCGTGTTGATTACTCTCTTTGGATCGCTATGTATATAACTCATGCATAGATTTATCCCATAAATACTTTCATATTTTTTTATTATACTGTAGTCTGAAATGAGTTGTCAATGGGACGTAATATCCATGCCAAAGAAAAAAAGGACGTAATATGGTTTGGACATATTCTAGGTAATGGGTACATGAAATTGGCATGTCCAAGTATAAATATACGTAGTGTGTCTTATAAATAATTTCTTGCATTTTTAAATGCATCAAGAGGTTTTTGAGATGTTATTAGATCCATTTAAGTAAACATAAGCTATGAAGAACTTATGATATAATTGAGATAAAAGTTGTGGTCTGCTATATGAAATCACGCTCCTAAAGATTACCTATATATATGATTGAGGTAAAACTGTGTCTATCATAGCTTGCCACAAAACTAGTTAAGCCTTGCTAAACATTTAACGGTTTTAATTGTGGTACCAAGGAGAGTAGTAACGGGATAGATCAACCGTCTACCGATATATATATGATTGAGGTAAAACTGTGTCTATCATATAGCTTGCCACAAAACTAGTTAAGCCTTAATTGTGGTACCAAGGAGAGTAGTAACGGGATAGATCAACCGTCTACCGCGTGGGTGTTATGGATATTTTACATTAGCATATTACAGTTTCAATTTTATTTTGAGCGAGAGAGCGTGTTCAGATGCGCCCAGGTCCGGCTGCTCCGCGTAGTTTGGCGCACGACAGCAATGGCTTAATCCACGAGGATCGCCATTTTTTTTACGCCTTGTCGTTGGTCTATATCAGCTCACCATGGGTTTTCTCCTCTATACGGCCTTCACCAGCAAGGGAACCGCGGTCATTGCCGGTAGTCCGTGGTCCGCCGGCACACCTGGCGCTCATCCGATCCGTGTCTTGCTAGTCCCTCATGGTAGCCGACTAGCCATGCAGCCCCCAAGAACTTCTTGGTCAACAGACCGCACCGCACGCCTGTCAGGCTGTCTTCGACAAACCAGCACCCCAACTCATCCTCCTCATCGTTCTTCTTCCTCAGCTGCCCCCGTGTCCTGTCAATGTTGCTCTTCCTCCCCCGCAAGCACTTGAAACTGGTTGGCGGCCCGGTTATGGAGCCGGTTGCCGAGTGGAGCAACTTCGCAGCGCGTTGCGGCGGTGCTATGTCCTCATGAGCGTGTGCCGTGCCAGGACTGATGCTACCTCTGCTGCCTGCTCCTGCTGAGTGCCCAGATGGCCGCGGGTAGTCCTGGCCATCTCACGCCCGGCCCTAAAATCCAGGGCCTAGGCCCGATGGGCTTGCTTGTGGGCCGGGCTTGGGCCTAAGTTTTGAGCCCACCAGCAGGGCTTGGACGGGGCATTTTAAGGAAGAGACCCGACCCACGGCCCTAAGCCCTAAGGGCTTTTGAGGGCTTTTTACCAGATGGGCTGGGCTTGGGCTTGAAAAGTAGGCCCGATGGTAGGGCCTGGGAGGGCTTGGGCCTCAGTTTTCTGCCATGGGCTTTTTTAGGCCCGGCCCACGGCCAGATATAGCCGTGGGCAACTGGCAGTCTGACAGTCTCACAGACCCTAGCGTAGACGTACTGCGTAGGCACATGGATGAGACAAGGGATGGATCGAACTCTTTGCTCATCGATTTTTTTTTCTTCATTGTGCCCTTTGGCCAAAAAATACTACTCCCTCATTCCAGAATTAACTGACAGTTAATTCTGGACGGAGACTCATATTGTATGCTAGTATTGATAGATCTGACACATCAGATCAGCCAGATGAACGTAATTGTTGGTCCCAATTGTAAGAACCCTAATAGAAAGCTAAAACTGTGCCTACAATTTTTAAGAATAGTCGTACATGTATGTTATGGGATGGAGTATAGACATATAATTTGGGTTTAAAATATAAGTTATTTTTTAAACCGATCATTGATTAAAAAATATGTGCTTAAACTCACGAAGCTACATGTATGAATATTCTCAGATTTTTTTCGTACTTTATACGTAGGCATGATTTTTTATTTTATTTTGAAAGTCGGACAGAGGTAAAAATCCAAGTAGTAATAATTCTCTCTAAATAAAGTGAGCCAAGTAACTAGGTTAGAGTTGAAATATGAAATTCCTTTAAATAAATTTGGATGTGCATATTACCCACCAACGTTTTAAAATGTTAACTTCATGATTGGCCTGTGATTTAAAATTCCATTTCTTGGTTGTGTGCAGGTTCCTGATTGTCGCAGTGATATGAGCGAATTTATTTGGCAATTAAGATGTGGTGGTGTGGTCTCCGTTTGGGGCAACAGTGAATCAACTACTATCCTTGATAGCGTGTACACCAGTATAACCCATAAGTCGAAAGCATTTGAGAACGAGGGAGTAGAATTTGAAAAACACAGCTGGGTCGAGGTACCCAGTCCATTTAAATTTGATGTCTTCTCCCGGCGTCTTCTTCTGAGTTTCCATGGTGATGATTTTGTCGCCCAAGAAGTTGCAGCAGTGGGTAGGATGGGACACCAAGGTGTAGTTCAACGGTGTCAGAGGTTTCTACAAGAATACAAGTGCCTCGTAGTTATTAATGGTCTGGAAAACAAGGATGATTGGGACTCGATAAAATCTACCTTCTTATCCATGTCTACTAATGGTTGTATTCTTGCCATTACACATCCCAGTGTAACAGACGCAGGTGTACTAGCAAGATATTGTGTAGATGAGGAAGATCGAGCAATCAACATCCAGTATTTGGAATCCGACTCCATGCTCCGTCACTTGATAAAGGTATGCATTAGTATATCGCAGGAGCATTTTATTCTCAGTTACTTATAGATACTCCCTCCGTCTAGGTGTGTAAGTCATCTTATGAAAACCAAATAATCCCAAAACACTTAGGCGCGATGCATTAAATTCTATCTCGTTTCTTGTTTCTTGACATATCAACCAATAAGAGATGTGGGGTGTGCATGTTTTTAATGACTTGAGACTACCAAACACGACATGCAGTGGCTAGTTCATTGCATGCAATGCTATTGATTAACAAATGAACGTTAAGTTCTCTCGTTTTCCCCTCCTCCTTGGTCACGGTGCACAACCTAAGATGACTTACTCACCTAGATGGAGGGAGTAAAAAGTATGCATCCCTGGCTGAATTGGACCCAGGTGCCATTCACTGTTGAGTCAGATTTTGCAGAGATAGGTCGAAATCAGAATGCTGTTAGGGCATCTCCAAAGTTGACAAAGCGGAAACAAAGTGTGTGTGTTGGGGGGTGCATTCCGGACCGCTGCCACGCCCCCTCCTCTCTCGTTGGCGTGCTTTCCCGCCCAGCGCCAATTGCCCGCATTCGTGTCAATGTAGAGCGGCTGCTCAACACTGACATTGGCCTAGAGCAAACACAACCTCTCGCTGGTGTCGACGGAGAGCGCCGTGTGCTCGGTGTACGCGTGTGTTCAATGTTGGAGTGACGTTTACTGTAGGAGACGGGATTGATATCTACCATGCCCGTTCAAGCCTGCCCCCCCCCCCCATGCCGCAATTAAGAAGGCTTGTCGACTGAGGAACCAAATCCAGCGCCACGCATTGATGAACCCGGCCGGATGCTTGGCCTCACCAGAATCCGTTATTTAAAGGCGGCCACACCCACCTAAACTCCACATCACAACATATCCGCTCCACATCCTCCTCCCTTGCACCACATCCATCATGACTGCAAGCTCTAGCGCTATGTGGGAGAGCATGTCATCGGAGCAGAAGCACGGGGTGGCCTCCCTTGCAGTCGTCTGGCAAACCTGTCATGCCTGGTGTATCGAGCATGGCATGCCAGCCAGCTTGCCCGAGGTCTCCGACGACAACCCTATGATGGAGAAGGGATGCGACATCGCACCAAACCCGCGCCTGTGCATGCTGGCTTGACCATGGAGCAAGCACGCGCGCACTTTGATGCCTCCATGGCGGAGGAGGAGGAGCCTGCGCCGGCTCCTATGTCGACGTTCCGGCAGGCACAGGAGGAGCATCGATACAACCTATTCCTCCTCAAGCAGCACCGGCTGGCGAAGGCCAAATCTATGGCGAGCGCTCAAGCGAGGAGGCCGTGGCCGCCATGGCAGCGGCAAACCCAAACATCGCTGCGGAGCAGCGGGCGCTCTACGAGGCCGCGCATGCTCAAGGTGCCACTCGCAATGCAGAGGTGGCAGATCCAGACACGAACCAACTGCGCGTCCTACACGCCGGCATAGGCGGTGGAGGATGAGAATGCCACCAACTGCGTGTCCTACACGCTGTCGTCCAACTTTCGGGGGTGCATGTGGCAGGTGGACAGTGACGGACCGTCCACGTGCATCATCGACCTCACGTCCATCGGCACCAGCGACGGATAGGACACGGACTCCCCTGAGGACCAGTAGGGCATGGGTGGCGGCAGGGCATTGTGTCTCAAGTGGGCCGGTCCGTCTTCCATGTTCTTCTATTCTTTCTCGCCGGAGGCCGCATCTTCACTTCACGGATCTTGAACCCCTGCTGCCGCTCATGAAGACGGTAGATGAAGGACGTGGTCGCCGATGCGGAATACAAAGAAAGTGGACGACGGGAGCCACCGTAGGATACGTTTAGGTCTGACTGCTTCTTTTTAATGAAAAATTGTCGAATTGTAATAAGTGTGTTCCGGTTTATATGAAAATCAGTCGATTTGCATGAATTTCGGCCGGTCCGTTGAAATATGGTTCGAGTTGTATGCAGATAGTGTTAGATGGACGGCTGCCGCATCCGTGTCCATGGACGGATACCGGAGAAAATTTAGGGATCAGCGTTAGAGATGCCCTTAGTTACAATTTAGCTAAGCTAGGTAGGAAGCAACGTAGAATAGCACTTGGGTTATGAAACTAACCGATTTCTCAAACGCAGTTGTGTGCTAATCGATTTATTTAACTAACAAATGCATTTCTCACAGGGTTCTCGAATCTATGGAATTGGAGGCAAGCAGGCTTGTCGGAGGGGTCGTCTTTTTTCCGTCAGGAGGGAAGAGGCACGCATCTGGACCAAACAATTTCGTCATGTTGTAGGAGCAAGCTTTCTTCATCACTGTTTTAGAGATAGTACCGTGTTGTCCCTGTGGGGAACAGACGGCGCTCAGAAATCGCCTTTCATCAGAAAAGCGTACTACTACCAACTGCTTCTGAGCCAAAATGACAATATAGTCAAAAGGATATTCGATGATGGCTATATTAACTTGAAATTTACAAAGTTCAGCTGGGTTGATGTGCCGCACCCATTTAATTTGGTGGACTTGTCTTGGCGTTTACTTTTGGATTTCCATTCTGATGATCTCCAAGCCAAGGAAATGTTAGCAGTCAGTATGATGGAAGGCCAGGATGACCCAATTCAACTGTGTCTTAAGTTCATGAGTGAAGACAGATGCTTCATTGTTATTAATGATCTGCGCTGTACAGGTGATTGGGACTCTATAAGGGATGCCTTCTCGTGGTCAAAGGGTATAAAAAGTTCTATTGTTATCATGACAAATGAAGAAAGTGTCGCCACATATTGTACAGATAGCTGTATACATGGATATGGAAAAGGTTTTTACAAGATCAACATCGAAGAAGTAGTCGCAAGCTGCAGTATGACAAAGGTATATATATATATATATATATAGTCGATCATATACTCTCATTTTCATTTTAATTACTCTTAACAGTTGCTGGTAGGTGGTCTACAGATTTGGATATATTTTTATTATTTCTGGCGTTCGTTTTACTGTTATGATTGAATGTGAATAAAAAATCGCTCGCAAAATAGTTACTCTAACAGTTATGTATCTGGACCGTACCCGCAGGATTGTGGATACACTGGATACTACGGAAATGAAAGTGGTGAGGTTTCTCGCTTTTTCTCCAACAGAAGGGAAGAGGCAAATGACTGGGCCCTGACATTTGGGCTCGTTGGAAAGCTGTTTGAAGATGATCCCGACTATTCATTCTATACTCATGTTGGTTTGCTATCCATATCGGGAATCCCTGGGGTTGGGAAATCAGTGCTCTGTAGATATATCTACAGCAAGGTAATGCTTTCTAGTAGAAAGAGATTTACATCCTTCAGTTGGGTCGATGTGCCACAACCCTTCAGTTTGATGGAATTATGTTGGCGGCTACTTTTGGATTTTCTTTCGGATGATCTCGAAGCAAAGGAAACTGCGACCATTGGTATGATTGACGACGGTTCTCGGGATCACATTCAGGAGTGTCGTGAGTTTCTGCATAAAGAATGCTTTGTTGTTATTGATGGTCCGTGCTCTACACGTGATTGGGACTTGATCAGAGATGCCCTCTCACCCGAGAATACCAAAGGATGCATTCTTGTGATTTCAAATGAAACAAATATGGCCACATATTGTGTGTCTGATAAAAATCAAGTGGTCGGCACACAAGGTCTAGAACCTAATGCAGCTCTTCTTCTTTTCGAAAAGGTACGTATGTTTACCGATTCTAGTTTGAACCTTGATGCTCTAGTTAATATTAATATATATATATAGTAGTATATGCATATGAAAATACATCATACACTCCTGCAAAAAATACATCATACAATTGGGTGCAGACATCATGTCTCTTTTTTAAGGAAGATATTGTCTCATATATTCTAGCTATGTTCGTTATGGACCAGCACCCATATGTATCTCCGATTTTTTGAGGAATTCCACACATCAGATTTGGAGGATGGGAGGGTAATGCATGTGTTTTCTTGTGAGACTCAATTTTCCAATCAAAATTATGGACTAACTGGTTTACTCGGCTAGTGAATTACAAAAGCCTAAGACACCGACAGCCACAGAACCATACATCTCCACGGGCCGAAGAGGAAGTCCCGCCTGCCAGAGACAGAATGGGGGCAGATGTTCTATCACACGCCTTCCTGGTCGCTCGTCTGATATCCTAAGTCTTGTTGCTCTAGTTCCTGAGAGCATCTCCAGCCGTTGGCCTCCTAGGGGGCGTGTAAAATCGACGCCTGGGGATGAGCCGGCGCAAAAAAATGACCTGGAGGCGAGTTGATTCTCACTCGTCGACCCCAGGGCCGCCCCAGATGCCGTCTAAATTTCTTTTTAAAAAAACATTTGGCGAAATTCGGCTAAACTCGGCTAAAATTCGGCAAACTTGGCATACATTAGACATGTTCGCGGTTTACATAGCAAATTTATCTAAAAAAAGGCCTAAACTAAGGGGCAAGGAAGTCGCTGAACGCGGCGTAGTCGCCGCCGTCGGCGACGGCGTTCCTCACCTCCTTGGCGCGGCCGCCCCTGCTAGACCCCTGCCCGGCGTCACCATGGCGGACCGGTGGCGGTGGCGGCGCGTCGTCGTCGTCGCTGTCGTCGAGGACGACGACGCCACCTTCATCGTGGCCCCGGCGGCGATGTTCGAAGCGCTGCAGGCCGGCGCACTTATGCTCCATCTCCATCTTGAGATAGTCCTCGCGCTCCCATTTCAGGGCCGCCTCGTCGTTGAGCTCCATGTCGCCGTGCTCCGTCTTCACGGCGGGAAGCCCCGGCTCCGTTTTCACGGTCGCGAGCCCCGGCTCCGTCTTTGGCTTGATGAAGCGCGGAGGAGCCGACGAGGAGGCGCGCCGGCCGCCCTTGTTTATGATGATGCCGGCGTTGCGAGTGCGCCGGCCGAGCGGCGTCTCCGTGTCGGGCTCGGCCTTGACGCCGAGTAACGCCGGAGAGCCGGAGGAGTGAAAAGAAGAGCGTGAGGAGGAGTGCGAGGAGGAAGTCGAGGAGGAACAGAACCTCCTGGGCATCCATTGCCCGGCACGCCGGCGGTGGGCTGGGGCGGCCGCCGTGGGAGGGTATGTCAGCAGCGGTTCGTTGCCGCCCTCGAGGTACGACAGCACGCCGTCGAGCGTGTGGCCGGGGGTGCCCCACCACACGCGGCGCCCCTCGCTGTTCTTCACGCCGCCCACCACCGGCGCCCCGTTGGTGGATGCCAGCCTCTTCTCCTAGCGGCGCTCGAAGTACGCCGCCAGGCCGCGTGGTTGTCGGCGGCGTACTGGGGAAGGGCGAGTTGCTCATCGGTGAGGGAGGCTCGCACGCGGTCGATCTCGGCAGCGAAGTAGGCGGGGCGCGCCTCGACGTCGGGCAACGGGGGAATGGCCACTCCCCCGTTGCTGAGCCTCCACCCCGTCGGCCCGGTGCGCATGTCCGGTGGCGCCGGGATGTTCGCCTCGAACAGGAGCCACGACTCCCACTCGTGGAGCGAGCGGCGGCCGAAGCCGTTGGCCGCTGCCGCGTCGCCGGGGAAACGCGCGGCCATCGGGTGTCGGAGTGAGGGAGAGGGAGGGAAGAAGCGTCGGCGAGAGGGACAGCTCGGCGGCTAGGGCTGGTGTGGCTAGAGGCGAGGGAGGCCACCGGATTATATAGCCGCGCCCGTGTGTACGCGTGGCGGGAGGGGAGGCGTCGCCGCGCTGCCCCGTGACGCGCCGCCCGTGATGAGGAATCAATGGCAAGGCTGACCGGCGGCGGCAGCGCGGCAGCCTTGACATTGATTCCCGCGGGGACTGAGGTGATGAGAGCGACGAAGCGCCCATCTTCCTGACTCGGTGGGCCCGCGGCTATTTCGCGCCAAAACCACTCGCCCCGGCGCCCCCCAGCGCGCCGGGTTCGGTCTGGGTCTGCCGGCGCTGATTGCGGTCCAAGCCGGCAAAAAACGGGCTTCTGAGGACGCGACTGGACCGTTTTCTCGACGCCGACGCGGAAAAATCACGTGGGAAGACTGTGTTGGGGAAGCGGCTCGAGATGCTATGAGGCAGCCATCGTAGGAATCTGCCACCGACGATCTGATCATCATGTCACACATATTTCTTCTTCCCTCCTCTCTCCCCGCCACCTCCTACTTGCACTGGCAAACCTGCCCATGCTACTGGATGTTGTTGGAAATATCCTCTAACCAGAGATGGTTTGGGTATTCCAAGCATGTTCAGAGGCTTCCTCAAGGTCAATGCCATTATCGAGATTTGGTATTCGATGGCTGCTACTAAATTTTCCCAAATTATCTGAGGGCCGTGAAGAAATTAACCACGAACTTCCAGGCGGCATCTCCATGAGTTGCCATCAGGTCAGTCCTCGTTTCTGTCTTTGACTCATTTCCTGCCCTAGGGAAACAACCACTTTGTAAGTCAGCTGCAACAACGAGGAAACGTGGTTGACCGCTCCATCCATTAATTGTGGGGCCCACCATTGACATGATGGGACAACAACAATGCTCAACAGTGGCACAACCATAAAGCTGGCCGTAATGGAAGTATTATAACTAGTAGTACCATACTACCTTCGTCCTGGTTTATTGGTCGCCATTGCATTTCGTGTCAAATTTTGATCAAAAAATTGACTAACAAAATGTTAATGCATGCCAACAAAAATTATATTGTTGGATTCGTATTTGATTATAGTTTTCAATGATATAATTTTTGATGACATGCATGGACATTTTGTTAGATAAATTTATGGTCAAAATTTAGCACGAGAATACAATGAGGATCAATAAACCAGGATGGAGGTAGTATATGTCAATTAGGCAATTTTGATGATGTGACACATAACTAAATGAAAAAATAGAGGGTCGAATATCATATCATCATAAATATCTACTATTATATATCTTGCGTGACAATAAATAAGATCATCTATAATATTATGCATTGCGGAGATAGTATTATAATGCATGATACTAACTTACGGTACTACCCATTACGGACAGCCTAATTTTCACTTTTCCCAATCAGCACACCATGTCGTGTTGTGCATGCATGATGATCCTTTGACTTCCGACGACCTTCATTGGCCTGTGCATGCGTGCTGATGTATTTAATTTCTTTGTGACCTTCTCGAAACAGGCTCTCGCACCATTTTATAAATAAAACACCAAATAAAGTACACGGTTGAATGATACAAGGAAGTGAGGTGACCCTGTTACAATGCAGATCCTAGAATATCCTGGTCACGTAGAAACTATGCTACCGAAGGAGAACACGGGAAGAAATGAGTACAACACCACGCTACGCTATCGATGAGTCGTGGGACGACCTCTACATCCTCATGGAGGCGCAGTTGCCTGAGGAGGAGCGCACCCGGCGAAAGGCCAGATCTTTTGCTAGCTTTCTGGGGCTTCTAGAATAAGTTGCCCTCTACCCTTTGTGACGGGGCTCGAGCGGATGCGCTTGGGGCGGCGCGGCTTGTCGGCGAGGAGGTGCACGGAGGCGTTGCGCTGCTATGCTGGATGCAGAGGGAGCGCGGGGCGCGCGTCCCTGTCCGCGTCGATCTGGCGCGGTGGGTGATGTCCGCGGCGTGGGGAGGCGCTGCGCGCGTGGTGACTGCTGTGCGCGGCGGCCTGGGGCCATGCGGGTGTGCGTGCTCCGTGATGTGCGGCGCCGTTGCATTGGCTGGTGAGGATGCATGCGGTGGTCGTGGCAGGTCAGTTGGGCGTGGCCAGAAGGTGTTTGTAGCCCAGATCTGCGCCCTTTGCGCTGATGTGCTCGTGCACGCGTGTCTTGGCGGCGCGTTGGAGGAGCTGGGTGCGGGCTGTTGCTCGCACGGTGGTCGCGGAGCTGGCCGGTTTGGGCTGGCAGAGGGGGGCCCATGTTGCGTGCCGTCTCTGCGTAGGGGTGAGGTGTGACGATGTGCTTGTGTGTCGTGGAGGTGATAGGTCGGATGGGCTGACCGGGTCATGGGATTGGGCGGGTGAGGTTGCCGGTGAAAACGGTACTCCGGCGGTGGCCGGAGTTGTCGATGGCGGCGCCTACGGGCATCGTTTCTTTGTTGAAGGCATCGATGTTGTAACCCTCACCTTCCTTCCCGATCTTCTTCGGGGGAAACCCTAGATCCAGTTTCCGGATCGGACGATGAAGACACTATTGCATTTATTTGGTGTCGTGTTCCCTTTTGGGGGCATCGTTTTGGAGTTGGACTCGGTCAGATGGACTTAGGGCTCATCGAGGTGGTTGACGGAAGTTGGCGTGACATCTCCGTGTGAGCAGCAGAAGCACCCGTCACATGCAAGGTGCGCGAGGCAAGCTATGTCTGCTAAACTCATGGGATTGAAGCGGCATATGTTTGCTCTATCGGACATAGCGTTCCTCTTTGATGTCATCGAGCTTTGCGGATATGCTTGTGGCAGCCCGGATTGATACGACGGTTTTTGGTGTGTATTTTCGTAGCAGCGTAGGCGCTCGAGTACCCGACCGGGTTGTTGTGGGGTGTGGCCTGCTGGCGTGTTGTATGTTTTGTGTGCTTTATGTCTAGTCTAGATAGGCGTTGTTTGGGTTTTCATCTGATTTTTCTTTAATAAACCAAGCAGTTTGGGTCCTTGTACCATCTTCTTTTTCACAAATGAATATAACAGCTCTCCTGTTATCGTTTCAAAAAAAAGGAGGACCAACGGAGCCATATGGAATTTTCGTAATATGAGTCCCTACACATCTCTGTGGACACATCCGGACATGCCCATTGACAGTGATCGGATAGTGCCCATATTTCACTGTGCATAACCGTAGTCTTCATTTGCAGTCACCAAATCCATGCAACAATGTAAACAAAATAACATATATCAACATCGAACAATAAATTTAGAGCATAGTTCATCGGGCAGTGCCAATCGGACCCAAAAGACATTCTTCGTCAGATTACTACAAAGAAAATAAAACAAGATAAAATGTAAAATTCGAAGGTGGTCGGAGTTCACCGCTTGGTCAAGCCCTTGCCCTTGCAGCCGGCGGCACAGTGGTCTATCTACTCCGTGTACGGCGTGTGTGACAGGAGGATCGTCGTCTTTGGTGGTGGCGGTGCTCTCTGACACCGACGACATGTACCCAGACATGCAGCGGATGGCGTGGGCCTGCTCTCGCGCATGGCGCTCCGCCTCCACGCTCTCCTTCTCCCTCGCGAGGCACTTGGACACCTTGAGAGTGAGGCGGAGCACCTTCGCGTTATTGCGCCGGAGGTGCCGCGCGTCGGACTCCGCCGTGGTCAGCAAGCGCGACCTCGCGGAGGAGCACCTACTCCGGGTCGACGGGATGGAGCATGCGCGCTAGAGGGAGGAGTCTCGCGCTGGGTCACCTTCGCCTCCGACTCTGGCATTGCACAGGCGCACAAGAGCCGCGGGCATGAGCAACCATCGTTGCCCGGGCGGTGCTGGCGCCGGAGGGGAAGGGGAGACACCCTCCCTGCTCCGGATCTGGAGCGGGTCGGGCGACCACGGCCCGCATTCTGTCGGCGGGAGGTGGAGGAGCTAGCGGACGCGACGGAGCTCGAGCTCCCGTCAGTGTCCAAGTTCGAGTGCTCGATGGTGATGCGGATCGCGAGCTCCTCGTCCCGTGCATCGCTGCTAGATCCAACGTCCTCCTCCTTAACGAGACCGTCCCAGTCCATGGGATCGAGCTCGCTGCCGGAGTCCTGATCGGGCTTGGCCATGGCGAAGGGGAGGAGATGGATTTGGGTGGAAGCGAAGGCGATGAGGAGAGCGGATAAGACGAGTGCGGACCAAGAAAGTGAGGGTTTGATTAGGGTTCGTCCGACGGAGTGGGGTATTTGTGGTGTCATCGGTGGGGGGCGGCGCGGGCCCTAGCGGGTCGATTTGATGTGGGGCCCGCGTCTGGGCGCATCCGGGCACTCCCATATCAGCCCCAGATATGGGACGGGTATGAGGAGTACCGGTCAGTCCAATCTTTTGGACAGGATATGAGGCGTCTGGTTGGGTTACGTTTGTACGTATAGGCACTGACCGTGCAGCCCGTCCGAGCATTTGGGACGTGTATGGGGTTCCCGTTATAGATGCTCTTGAGTTATTATCGTTTTCCAAATTGATATTTTGTACATATGCCGTTGGAATTTAATGGACTTCATGATCTTAATTAGGTAGCTTTTGGTGGCAAGCAATTGAGTCCCGAGGAGACTGAGATTTCAGAACTTATCATGGCCAAGTGTGGCGGACTTCCCAAAGTAATAGCTGCTATAGGGGAACAATACATAGCACGTGAATGGGGCATAGATTTTCTGAAGAAGTTAAATAATGACTTCATGGGTACGCTGGAGACTATGCCAGAATTCTATAGTTTAAGGGGTCTGTTTGGTTGGATGCAATCCTACTTTGATGCATGTTCAGATGCACTCAAGCCATGTATTTTCTATCTCTCGGTCTTTCCGATAGTCACTGATGTGAGGCGAGGGAGGTTGCTGAGGCGGTGGATCGCAGAGGGTTATTCCAGGGACAAGTTTGATATTACTGCAGAGAAAGACGGTGAGAATTTGTTCTATGAGTTGGTCAAGTTGAGCATAATCCAGGAACCACCAGGACAGACTCATGACGACAGGAGAAAATCCAATGATCCAGACAGCAAAGTAGACAATGTGTTCCAAGTCAATGGTTTCTTCCATGGATACATTATCTCACGACAATTGGAAGATAACCTTGTGTTTGCACTGGAGGGGCACTGCAACCTGAACTCGCAACGTGTGGGGCAACACCTGACCATTAGGAGCAGCTGGGACAGAGATGAGAATGTGTTCAAGAGCATGGACTTGTCACGGCTACGGTCTTTGACAGTGTTCGGGGAATGGAGGTCATTCTTCATCTCAACGGCGGACGGTAGCAGCAATATGAGACTGCTTCGGGTACTTGATCTTGAGGACACGGCGTCAGGTGTAACAAATGGTGTCCTCGAGCAGATTGGGAAATTACTTCCTCGTCTCAAGTTTCTGTCTGTACGAGGATGCAAAGAAATTACTCGTATGCCAGACTCGTTGGGTGGCTTGAGACAGCTGCAGACTCTGGATGTTAGCCACACCAAAATAACCAAGTTGTCATGTGCTATCATCAAACTGGTGAAGCTTCAGTACCTGTGTGCAGGCACCACTCAAGACGGCGATGCACAGCCAGTAGCAGCTGACCCTGATGGCATGAGCAGAAGCCAAGCAGCAGCGGTTGACCATGATGGCATGAGCAGTAGCCAAGCAGCAGCAGCTGACCGCGATGACATGAGCAGAAGCCAAACAGCAGTAGCAGTACCAGCCATGGACGGTGATGTGACGAGCACAATCGAACCAGCAGCAAGAGCACCAGCCGAGGGTGAAAATTCATCGAGTACACCAATGCAATGGAGGAGTAAGACCGAACGCAACTTGGTGCAATCCTATTCTTGCAGCTGGTCGTCCAAGAAGAAGAAGATGATGAAGAAGAAGAAGCAGTTTGATTATGGCGGTGGTGTCAAGGTTCCTGCTGCAGGTTTTGGGAATCTAACGGCCTTGCATAGTCTTGGTATTGTGAATGTGAGTGGTGCAGGCGGGAAGGCCATCCTCAAGGATATGGAGAAGCTTACCCAGTTGCACAATCTCTGTGTGTCAGGCATCAGCCAGAAAAACTGGGACAACTTGTGTTCAGTCATCTCGGGTCACGGCCATTTAGAGTCCTTGTCAGTGCGACTCGACTATGATGAGTCTGAGCAGGAGGGTGGTCTGTGTTGTTTAGATGGCATCTCCGAGCTACCAAAGACACTAGACAGCCTCAACTTTTATGGGGGAAATGTCTGTGCATCCCCAACCTGGATCTTGAGGAATCCTCGGTTTTTTCAAGGTTTTTGGGGCTTGTTCAGGAACAATCTTGTACTTACTCGTATTGAGTTGACAGTATCAACGCAAGAGGACATAGACAGTCTTGGTAGAATTGACTGTGCAAACTTGTTTGCCCATCTTTGTGTCAAGCCGATTCAAGGCAGCTTGCTCCGTTATGGTTGCGTTGGGTTATTTGGCATGCCCTGCGGATCCGCCACAGTCAAGATCGAATGCAACAGCAACGATTTAACGCTGGTTTTTGGACCTCATTCAACGGAACATGTGGAGGTGCTGGAGGTTAACTGCTTTTCTGCTACTGAGTCGTCTTTGGTGCTTTATGGGCTAGAGGAACTAAGGAATCTCAAGGAAGTGTGCCTCAAGGGTTCCTACAGCGACCAACTCAGGCAGTATTTGCAGCAGCAAGTTGACAGGCTTGAATACAACAATCGGAAACCTGTGTTGAAGCTGGAGCCCCAACACTCAGCTCCATCTACTCCTTGTGCGAGCCTGAAGCGCCTATTTACATGAACTTTCCTGTTTGTAATCTGTAATAGAGTGCTACTATTGTACTATCTGTGATCCCAAAGTTAATTCCGCAATCAGTATGTATGTATGTATTATTACCATCTTGGCACAACTTTGCCTGCTCCTCCGTCTTAATTTGTCCAACTGTCGTACTGTACATGATAAATAAAGGGCAAGTGTGAGCTAAGGTACAAGGAAATTGTTATGATATTAAGAATTAGCACCCATTGCTCACTGAATTATGCAAGTGTGTAATATTTACGGTTCACATTCACCCTTAGGCGGACGAGCCGCCGGCAACGAATCCACGTCGGGTCTGCACACCGATGCCCCGTCCCCCGTTTCGATCGGCTCTGCTGCAACTCTGCCTGACGACCGGTGCCCTACTTCGGTCTAGATCGGCATGGCCCTCTTCTGCCAAACCCTGCCCAATCTCCTCAATCAGGGATCTTAGCTTCCGAGACAAGCTGCAAACGAAACGGCGGAGCAGAGCGTCAGAAAACAAGACTTGTGGCAGAGCATTTCAGCAGTGGTCTTTTCTTGATCCTCTGCTGACACAGGTATTTGAGAGAAACCAGCGTAACCATCTAAAAAGCAAAAAAGTGTATGTTTGGATAATATTTCTAGCATTTGATCAATAAAAGGTATAGGGTAATGATCCTTTTTAGTAGCTTTATTTAACTTACGAAAATCAATTACCATCCTATAACCTGTAATAATTCTTTGCGGGATCAATTCATCTTTGTCATTAAAAACAACAGTAATACCTTCCTTCTTAGGGACACAATGGACAGGGCTTACCCACTGACTATCAGCAACGGGATAAATTATACCTGCCTCGAGAAGCTTTAGTATTTCCTTTCTTACCACTTCTTTCATCTTAGGATTTAACCGTCGTTGGTGATCAATAACTGGTTTGGCATCTTTCTCCAAATTTATTTTGTGTTGGCATAGAGTGGGACTAATGCCCTTAAGATCATCAAGAGTATATCCAATAGCAGCACGGTGCTTCTTCAGAGTTTTCAATAATCTCTCATCTTCCTGCTCTGAAAGGTTAGCACTAATAATAACAAGATATATCTTTTTTTCATCAAGATAAGCATATTTAAGGGTATCAGGGAAGGGTTTAAGCTCAAACACGGGATCACCCTTGGGTGGAGGGGGGTCTCCTAGGATTTCAACAGGCAAGTTGTGCTTCAAAATAGGTCCCTGTTTAAAGAATACCTCATCTATCTCCCTTCTTTCATTCATAAACATATCATTTTCATGGTCTAGCAAATATTGTTCTAAAGGATCATTAGGAGGCACGGCAATAGAAGCAAGACCAATAATTTCATTCTTACTAGGCAATTCGTTATCATGAGGTTGTCTATGAAATTTGGCAAAATTAAACTCTTAAGACATATCCCCCAAACCAATAGTAACAACATACTTTTCGCAATCTATCTTAGCATTAACAGTATTCAAGAAGGGTCTACCAAATATAATGGGACAAAAGTCATCTTGTGGGGAACCAAGAACAAGAAAATCAGCCGGATATTTAACTTTCCCACACAAGACTTCAACATCTCAAACAATCCCAATTGGTGAAATAGTATCTCTATTGGCAAGCTTAATTGTAACATCAATTTCTTCTATCTTTGCAGGTGCCATATCATGCATAATTTATTTGTATAAGGAATGAGGTATTGCACTTGCACTAGCACCCGTATCACATAAGCCATGATAACAATGATCTTCTATTTTAACAGAATAACAGGCATGCCTACAACAGGTCTATGTTTCTTAGCATCGGGTCTAGCAATTCTAGCAGCTGCATCACAGAAAAAAATAACATGCCCATCAATATTATCAACCAACAGATATTTAACCATAGCAATACTAGGTTCAACTTTAATTTGCTCAGGTGGTGTATATGTTATAGTATTACTCTTACGAACCATAGTTGAAGCTTTAGCATGATCCTTTATCCTAACAGGGAAATGTGGTTTCTCAATATAAGTGGAAGGAACAATAGGATCGTTATAACTGATAGTCTTTTCTTCAACTATAATAGGTGCAACTACTTTTACTTCAGTGGGAGGATTATATTTAAACCACTTCCCCTTAGGGAGGTCAACATGAGTAGCAAATGATTCACAGAAGGAAGCTACTATCTTAGAGTCAAGTCCATATTTAGTGCTAAATCCACGAAAAGCATCGGTATCCACAAAAGATTTAACACAATCAAACTTAGGTGTCATACCTGACTCATTACCTTCGTCGAGATCCCAATCTTCAGAGTTGCGTTTAATTCTTTCCAATAAATCCCATTTGAATTCAATAGTCTTCGTCATAAAAGAACCACCACAAGAAGTATCGAGCATGGAGCGATTGTTGAGAGAAAGGCGAGCATAAAAATTTTGAATAATCATTTCTCTTGAGAGCTCTGATTGGGGCATGAATATAACATTGACTTAAGCCTCCCCCAAGCTTGAGCGATGCTTTCTCCTTCGCGAGGCCAAAAGTTATATATATAATTACGATCACGATGAACAAGATGCATAGGGTAAAACTTCTGATGAAATCCCAATTTCAAACATTTGTATTTCCATGATCCCATATCATCACATAGCCTATACCATGTCAATGCATCTCCCTTCAAAGATAAAGGGAAGACCTTCTTCTTGATAACATCATCGGGCATACATGCAAGCTTAAATAATCCACAAACTTCATCCACATAGATTAGGTGTAAATCGGGATGCAATGTTCCATCTCCTGTAAAGGGATGAGCTAGCAGTTTCTCTACCATACCCGAAGGAATTTCAAAGTAAACATTTTTAGTAGGTTCAGTAGGTTGAGGAGCAACTCTTTCCTCTACAGGTCGGGGTGAAGATACCCCGAACAAGCCCCTCAAAGGATTATGTTCCATAGTAACAAGTGACAGTAAATTTCAGCACACTATATAACTTTTTTCTTACCAAGTTCCAGTTACCAAAGGCACTTCACTCCCCGGCAACGGCGCCAGAAAAGAGTCTTGATGAGCCACAAGTGTAGGGGATCTATCGTAGTCCTTTCGATAAGGAAGAGTGTCAAACCCAATGAGGAGCAGAAGGAAATGACAAGCGGTTTTTAGTAAGGTATTCTCTGCAAGCACTGAAATTATCGATAACAGATAGTTTTGTGATAAGGTAATTTGTAACGGGTAACAAGCAATGAAAGTAAATAAGATGCAACAAGGTGCTTGGGTACTGCCCTTTCTTAGACAAGCATCCCAATTATGATTAACCCCTATTGCAAGCATCCACAACTACAAAAGAAGTATTAAGGTAAACCTAACCATAGCATGAAACAAGTGGATCTAAATCAGCCCCTTGCGAAGCAAAACATAAACTAGGGTTTAAGCTTCTGTCACTCTAGCAACCCATCATCTACTTATTACTTCCCAATGCCTTCCTCTAGGCCCAAATAATGGTGAAGTGTCATGTAGTTGACGTTCACATAACACAACTAGAGGAGAGACAATATACATCTCATCAAAATATCGAACGAATACCAAATTCACATGACTACTAATAGCAAGACTTCTCCCATGTACTTGAGGAACAAACGTAACTACTCACAAAGCATATTCGTGTTCATAATTAGAGGGGTATTAATATGCATTAAGGATCTGAAAAAATGATCTTCCACCGAATAAACCAACTAGGATCAACTACAAGGAGTAATCAACACTACTAGCAACCCACATGTACCAATCTGAGGTTTTGGGACAAAGATTTGATACAAGAGATGAACTAGGGTTTGAGAGGAGATGGTGCTCGTGAATATGTTGATGGAGATTGACCCCCTCCCGATGAGAGGATCATTGGTGATGATGAAGGTGATGATTTCCCCCTCCCGGGGGGAAGTTTCCCTGGCAGAATAGCTCCGCCGGAGCCCTAGATTGGTTCCGCCTCGTGGCGGCGGAGTTTCATCCTGAAAGCTTGCTTATGTTTTTTTTCAGGGTAAAAGACTTCATATAGCAGAAGATGGGCACCTGAGGGCTGCCAGGGGGGCCACGAGGCAGGGGGCGCACCTAGGGTGGTAGGTCGCGCCCCCCACCCTCGTGGCCAGGGTGTGGACCCCCTATGGTATTTCTTCCGCTTAGTATTTTTTATTAATTCCCAAAATGACTTTCGTGGAGTTTCAGGACTTTTGGAGTTGTGCAGAATTGGTCTCTAATATTTGCTCCTTTTCCAGCCCAGAATCCCAGCTGCTGGCATTCCCCCTCTTCATGTAAACATTGTAAAATAAGAAAAAATAGGCATAAGTACTGTGACATAATGTGAAATAACAGTCCATAATGCATAAGTATTGATATAAAAGCATGATGCAAAATGGACGTATCAGGCCTCAACTGGACCAAGAGTATGAGGGACGTCTTCGAGCTGAACGTGTGCTGAACATGGAGGTGCCGTACGTTTGTTGCTTCGATCGGTTGGATTGCGAAGACGTTTGACTACATCAACCGCGTTAGCTAAATGCTTCCGCTTTCGGACTACGAGGGTACGTGGACACTCTCCCATCTCGTTGCTATGCATCACCTAGATAGATCTTGCTTGATCGTGGGAATTTTTTTGAAATTACCGCGTTCCCCAACATACTCACCTGTGGCTCGACGGAACACTATTGGAGTACTACTTTAATATGTTGCCTCACATGGTTTTCTCATTCATCAAATGGATGTTAAGACCGCTTTCCTAAATGGAGAGTTAGAAGAGGAAATTTATGTGGAACAACCAGATGGGTTTTTAGTAGATGGTCAGGAAGGAAAAGTGTGCAAGTTGCTGAAGTCTTTGTGTGGACTTAAGCAAGCACCCAAGAAGTGGCATGAGAAGTTTGAAAGAACTTTAATAGCCGCAGGCTTTGTTGTAAACGAAGCTGGTAAATGTGTGTACTATCGCCATGGTGGGGGTGAGGGAGTTATCCTTTGCTTGTATGTTGATGACATACTGATTTTTGAAACAAATCTGAAGGTT